CACTTTAAAGGGCCATAAATCTCTATTTAGGTGCAACTGTGCTGCCATCCTGCAGATTTAGGGAATTGGAAGCAACATATGGTGGAAGGTTTGTGGGATCACTGGTACAGACTGTTACAGGGTTTTTCCCATCTCATTTTCCCCTTGATATCTGAATCATAATAACATTAAATGTAATGATACTGATAATTTAATTCCTTTGCATCCACCGGAAATCCCCATGGCAGTATTTTTCTGCACTCAAGTATTTAAAATCCTACACGAGGAACGTCTCCTTTCTTTACATACGTGACTTGTTTAATTTTTACACCATGCAGGATTTAAAGTTCTCGTCATAAATGAACTCCTTCTCCCCCAAATTTAAGCTGAAAGCAGAACAACTCTAAAAGCAAAATCCAGAGATATTTTTCTTTCAGTTTTAGGTTTTATTTCTGTCAAGCATTTTAGTTCATAACTTGGTCATTGGAAAAGAATTACGAACTAGAATCCAAAGTTACTCCTGATAAGTGGAATTTAACAATTCTCACCCTTCTGTGGGTAAATCAGGGGCCCTGGACAGTGAGGACCAAAAAGAGAAAATGGGAAGAAATTGGAATTATGTCTTGGATTGATTATCTATTCTGCTGCTCATATAGAAATACTCCCTCCCCTAATCAGCAGCACAGTAGAGAATTTTCACTTCAGTCTATTTTCTGTTTGGCTCAGTTGTTTTGTGATAATGAACAAAGAAAACCAGAACACGTTGCAGTGTTTCAGAAAATCAGGTTATTGGGGAGTGTGTGAGAGAGAGTCTTCCAGGAGGCTGCTAAATCCTGGGAAATCTGTGAGAAATGGGAATTGTGATTTCACACGGGAACATTAATTTCCTCTTAACACTTTTTACTCAGCTCAAGCACAATTTAATTCCATTTTCCCCACTTCTGTGTGAATATTCTCTTTTCCTGTTTGCCTACTTGAGCATTAATACTTAAATTACCAAATATTGCCAAACTGGCTTCTTTTCTGTGCTGCTTTGGTTTTCACTCTTTTCTCCTGGACCCTTTTCAAGCAAATGGACAAATTCACTCTGAGTCTGGTGGTACCATGTGAGGTTAAAGAGGAGCTTCCCCAAATCCCCAAAACCTGGTGTTGGGGGGAAAATCCCAAACCCATCCCAGGTGAATTCAGAGCAGCCTCCCAGGCCAGGGAGGTGTTTGAATGTCCCCAGGTATCGATGTCACCTCGCTCCTTTCAGGGGACTTTGCCAATCCCCCCCTTTCTCTCCTCTGCTGGCTCTTATTGGCCACAGGAGCAGCTGTTCCCCAAATAAAACTGATTCTCTCCCAAAAATACGATTGTCTTGTTCCAAGTGCCATGGAGGGGGGGTTTTCCTGGGAGCAGGAGCGTTTATAAGGTAGGAGAGAGCACACCCTGGTTGTTCAGGCTTCAGGAGGGGATTTTGCAATGAACTTGTAGAATTTAAGACATAGTGGCACTAGAATTTGACCCCAGAAAAATGACTTGCTATAAGGAATCTATGGCTGCATGAGGACTATTTTTTTTCCTCCCCCATATAAGGAATAGAAATAATTAAATAACCAAAAATCCAATCATCTTGATATCTAAAACTGGCAGATTGAGGTTAAATACCTGTCATGAACTGGAACATCTAAATACTATAATTATAGGGAGCAGATGAGAGAACAAGTGTATTGTTCCCACGTTATTATGGGATATATGTAAACAGTCAGGAGATATTTAAATCCAATTAAATATAGATGTACTGAGTGAGGTGGCACTGCAGCAAAGTTTAATTCTTCTTGCTTTGTGTCCACTGTGAACCACAATCTTTCCTAGTGGGGGGATTCAAAGGAATGATTTTAAATTCAGTGGTGATGAATTAATGGAAAGAAAAAGTCCAGAATTTCAGTTTTATTAAATGCTTTTATATAGAATCACAGGATGGGTTGGAGGAGACCTTAAAGATCATCTCATTCCAACTCCCCTTCCATGGGCAGGGACACCTTCCACAAAGGAAGAATAATTATTTTAGGAACAGTCTTGCCCCTTATAATGAAAATCTGTTTAATGATTCCTTGCTCTGAGCACGTTATTTTTTAAACAGACTGGTAAGGTATAATTTTGTTATTAATTATGTTTTTCCAGTATTTAACAGCAATCCATCAATCTGACTAATTAACTGGAGCGTGTCTGGTTTAGAGCTTTGCAGCAGGAGTGGGGTGTGACAGTGAAAAACAGAAATTATTGGGATTTGAGAACTGATTTACCACTTTCCCTAAAGTTACTTGATCTTTAAAGTCATAGGCTCTTTCTGTGTGGAAATTATGTTTTTTTTTAATTATTTCCAGCAGTGGCAGGACACTCCTGCACAAATATGTTGTTCAAAAGTAGAATTTTATCCTTTACTGGAGCTGAGGGGGTGAAGAATGTGTTGAATGGCAACAGTGACCACTGGGAATTTTATGTGGATATTCAGTTTTCCACTACAGGATTTGGTTTTGTGTGAAAATGGAAAAAGAAAAAATCACCACCCTTTCCTCTAAAACAGAATTCTTAAAGGTGGAAAGATTCTAATCCTGCAAATGCCTGACTTGGAGTGGGATCTCCTTTTGCCCCCTGGATGGCAGGGATAGTTGGAATACCTCCTGGAGACTTTCTCATGCAGGGAAGTGCTGTGGCTGTAGGGAAGGTTGGGTTACAGGTTCAGCAAGAAAGGGACTCTGTTCTGTTTGTATTTACAGCTTTAAAAAAGAAACAAAGATGCTTTTTATGACAAGTCACCTGAGAGGCATCACCTGTTCTATAGGAAAAAATAATGTCCTTTTTACTGTGTTCTTTCTTCCTGGTTCAGCTGAATCAACACCTTAAAAATCAAAAGAACAGATGTGACAGTTTACACTAAAAATCTGAAAGTCCAGAAAATCAGTCAGAAAAAAAATCAAGGTGAAATTTTCGGACTATTTGGCACTTGATGCTTTGATTCCAAAATACTTCATTTTGGGAAACTTGATGTGTGATTTTGTTTCCATTTGTTCTTTTAGAGCAAAGCTTTATATAAACTGTGCAGTTGTGTAGGACTCTGAAATCATTGCTGATTTCTATTTGTATCCTTCCAGTGCCTAAAGGGGGCTTAGAAGAAAGTTTGGGAGAAACTTTTCAGAAGAGCATGGAGTGATAGGACAAGGGGGAATGGCTTCAAAGTGAAAGAGGGAAAATTTAAGTTAGATATTGGGAAGAAATCCTTCCCTGTGAGGCCCTGGCACAGGTTGCCCAGAGAAGCTCTGGCTGTCCCATCCCTGGAAGTGTCCAAGGCCAGGTTGGAGCAACCTGGGTGAGGGGAAGGTGTTGTTAGGGGGTGGGACTTTAAGGTCCTTAGAGGTCCTTAAGGTCCTTTACAACTCAAAGGTCCTTTAGGTCCTTTAAGGGACCTTTGGTTCTAAGGACCTTTAAGGTCCTTTAAGGCTTTAAGGTCCTTTACGACCCAACTTGGCTTTGGACACTTCCAGGGATCCAGGGGCAGCCACAGCTTCTCTGGGCAACCTGTGCCAGGGCCTCCCCACCCTCACAGCCCCAAGGCTTGTGGCTTTGTGAGGCCGAGGCAGAGTGTGTTTTGGAGGGATCTATTGTTGTGTTTGTGTTTTCCCACAGCTGTCAGGATGTGGAGCTCCCCGGGGCCCCTCTGGGTGTTCCTGGCTCTGGTTGTGGCTGTGCACGCGGGGCTGAAGGTGACCCCAGCTGTGAAGTACACGAAGCCAAAGCCCCCACAGCCCCCTCCCACCCTTCTCCCGGGGAAAATCCCAGTGCCAGCAGCTCCAGGGGGAGCTGAGTCACCCACCCTGAGCCGAGGGGCCACCACCATCTTCCCCTTCGAGAACTACACCCTGGACACGGCCGAGTTCTTCTTCAACTGCTGCGACTGCTGCCCCCCTTCCGTGGGACCCCCGGGGCTGCCAGGGGAGCAGGGACCCCCAGGTACGGGGATCACCCTCTCCCTGCCCTCACAGACACCAAATCAAGGAGCTTTTCCTTCAAGAAGTGAATTGTGTGGGAGATGAGGGGAGACCTCACAGCAATCTGCAGCTTCCTCGTGAGCAGAGGAGGGGCAGGGACTGAGCTCTGCTCTGGGGGGACCAGGGGCAGCACCCAGGGAATGGCTGGAGCTGTGCCAGGGCAGGGTCAGGATGGATCTCAGGAAAAGGTTCTTCCCCCAGAGGGTGGTTGGGCACTGCCCAGGCTCCCCAGGGCAGTGGGCACAGCCCCAAGGCTGCCAGAGCTCCAGGAGGGTTTGGATGATCCTCTGGGGCACAGGGGGTGACAGCCTGTGCAGGGCTGAGGGTTGGACTCCATGATCCTTGGGGATCCTCCCCAGCTCAGGATATTCTATGATTCAATGCAATGCTGAATGTGATCACACCTTGCGTAAATCCAGAGCAAAAAAGTGCATTCTGGTCACATCCCAGGAGTCATAAACCACCAAAGAGAGTGGGAAGGCCCCCAAAAGGAGCTCCCTCCCATGGGATCACACTGGTGTGGGACTCGTGCAGAGCTATCCCCCATCCCTGCTGGGTGGTGGCCACACTCTTCAATTCTCTGTACCTGTGTCTGAGCCCTTGGGAGTCACAAATTTACTTTCACAGCAACTCCAACCATGGCTTTATGAACCTCAAAACTACCTTGGAGCAGTTTTGCATCTTTGCTGAAGGTTTATAATTAACCCCTCTCTTTTTTTTTCTCATCTTTTTTTCCCATTAGAAAAGAGGAAATTAAGTACAGGAATAACTTTGGGTTCGAGTCCAAAAATAAATAAATAAAGGACCTCTCACAAGAGGCAGCTCTTTATAAATATTTCATAAAACACACTTTGTCTCTTCTTTCTGCTGCTAAAATACACGTTATAGAGCACCTCATTCTCATCCTGCTGGAATGAATAGTGCACTAATCTGCAAATGTTCACTTTAAAAGCACTAATATTGGAGGGAGAAACTGTTCAGCTGAAGAAAGGTGGTAAAATCATGAAATCTCCTTTAATACAGGGTACTCTAGGGATGCTCACTTCCCATGGCTTGGGAGGGATTGGCTGATGGAAGTTTCAGTGGCTACAAAGGGGGTTTGATTTCTTATGTCTCTGGAACATTGATGGAAAAGTCCTTGGGATGATTGAAGCTGCCATAATCTGCTCCCAGACATTCACTGGGAGTCTCTAAGATTCCCGGGTGGATGTAAAAATGAAGGAAAGATTGGAGCCAGCTTCCTTGCCTTTCAACCCATCCTTTCTGCAGCAAGGAACTGTCAGCCAGGTGCCACTTCTATATTTGCAGACTTAATTCTCTTTAAGGAGAGGGGCAATTCTGAAGCAATGGGAGCTCTTTAGATGCACTCAGATATTAAAAAGAGATTAATTCTGAAGTTTTATTGCTGTCTGAGCTCCCGTGGCTCTGAGGCAGCTCAAAGTTGGTTTTAAAAAGTCTTTAACTACGGCCAAGGGTGAAATGCAGAACTGTAAGATTTGCACTGGTTTTATGGTGTCAAATAAAACACCCAGCTCTTCCCAGAGTGATGGAAGCCCCTTCCACACACTCCCCAGTGCCGGGTTGCTCAGCAATTATTGCACATGTTATTTTTAAAGTGAAATCTTTGAGTTACTGAGGTAATTTTGTGAATGTGGTTGTGTTTCAGGTCCCAAGGGGGACAAGGGAGATGATGGTCTGCCAGGTCTGCCAGGAGCTCCAGGTCCTCAAGGTCCAAAAGGTTCTAAAGGAGAAAGAGGTAAAGCAAATGCTGTTGTCCTCATCAAATACCACAAAATTTAAAGAAATCCTATTTTTCCAAGAGGAAGGAGTGTCCTGATAGGGATTGACACCTGGAGAGGTTTAGGGGGCAATAACTCGGGTGTATGTTCAGATGGTATAAGAGCAGCTGCTCTTAAAGATATCAGTGGATATCCTTGTTCTGAATAGTTTAAAAACTGAGTTCAATTTGCTTTGGATGAGGGACATAAGTGGGAAAACCCACCACGAAAGCAGGTGTAGAAGCTGCATTTCAGTTGAAGTATCTCAGGAAAAATGATTTCGGCTTGTATGGAGAGCAGTTGTCACCCATCAGTAGTGACCAAAAGGAAAACTTGGCCTTCATTCCAGGCTTGGAGCAGCTGATTCCTGCCCCACACACCTCTGGCAGGATCCTGTGGCTGCCTTGGGTCGTGGAGAATCCCACAGCAAAGCTGATACAGGGCTTCCAGCAGCAGGGTGCTGAGCTGTTTAGTCAGTCTTTTAGGCCTCGATTCACCTCTGGAACAAGGCTTTTGGCAATCCTGGAATGAGGAATGCTGTCACCTTCTCCATCTTGCCATTCAACAGCAGGAACTGCCTCCCAGTGAGGCAGAAATCCAGCACAGAGTGAGATGGTTCTTGAGGTGTGAGATTCAGCCGAGGTTTCTGAAGGGGTTTCTTGCAAACACACACTGTTCTATCAGGGAAGTGAGGGATGCATGGAAATGGTCCCAGTGGATTATTGCTGTGTAATGATTGCTGGCTGCAGACAGAATTAATGAATTCATTAATTGTGGAATGTTCTAGGAGGAAAAGGGGAGCAAGGCGAGCGAGGAGCAAGTGGAAATCCCGGTTATCCAGGGAAACCTGGGCTACAAGGTACATAACATGCGCTGGGAAACCAGGAATATTGCCCTGACCTTTCCCTTTGCTGTTGGTGATGCCTCTCTGTCTCCAAAACAATCCAACACTGTTGGTTTTAATCTTCCTTTCCCCCCTTACTTTTCCCTGTTCCAGGTGAAGCCGGAGCCAAAGGCAATAAGGGCAACTACGGCTTCCCGGGGCTGAAGGGACAAAAGGGGTCCAAAGGGGACACTTGTGAGAACGGGACCAAAGGAGCCAAGGGGGACAGGGGGGATCCCGGAGACCCAGGAGCGGTGGGAGAACAGGGTGACAAAGGGGAAAAGGGAGACACGGGGGAGAAGGGCTACTGTGGGGAGCCGGGGGGAAGAGGGGCCAAGGGAGACAGAGGGGAAGGGGGGACCAAGGGGGAAAAAGGGAGCAAAGGGGACACGGGGGCCGAGGGGATTCGGGGGGCGGACGGAAAACAGGGAGAAAAGGGCGAGCGAGGAACTAAGGGTGAGAAAGGGGACCTGGGCCCCGCCGGCATGACGGGACCTATGGGTCCCAAGGGGGTGGCGGGCAGCAAGGGGGGCCGGGGGGCGCCGGGCAAGAAGGGCTCGCGCGGGGCCAAGGGCGCCCGGGGCGACCCCGCCAAGGCCCCCAGGTCGGCCTTCAGCGCCGGGCTGTCCAAGCCCTTCCCTCCCCCCAACGTGCCCATCAGGTTTGACAGGGTCCTGTACAACGAGCAGCGGGATTACAACCCCGCCACGGGCAAGTTCAACTGCTCCGTGCCCGGCACCTACGTCTTCGCCTTCCACCTGACGGTGCGCGGGCGGCCGGCGCGCGTCGGCCTCGTGGCGCGCACCAGGAGGGTGGCCAAGGCCAGGGACACCGTCCACGGGCAGGAGATCGACCAGGCCTCCTTCCTGACCATCCTGAAGCTCGGCGCGGGGGACCAGGTGTGGCTGGAGGTGGCGCGGGACTGGAATGGGGTCTACGCCGGCGCGGAGGACGACAGCGTCTTCACGGGCTTCCTGCTCTACCCCGACGTTCTCGAGGTCCTGAGGTAGATTTAGAGGGAGAAGGTGCCTCGTGTCAAGCGCAGACGCCCTTCCAGGAGATTTGTAACGAGGAGATTAGGCCTCGTTTCGCTTAGGAAGCCTTTCCTGCCTAAGAAAAAAAATACCTTTCACAAAGATAATTTGGGTGTTTTCTCCTCTTGCGTTCCAGAGGAGAGTTACAGTCCTTGGGGTGGGAGGAGAGATAAACTCACACAGGCTACAGGGGAGGGTCTGGCAAAGATAAAAAAGCCCTGAAGAGAACAGGAGGTGCTTTTTGCAGCACTGCTGGGAGTTTTTCCCTTGTAAGTCCAGTGTTCTGGCCTTTGGAATAAATTTTCCAGAACTCCTTCCGCTGCTTGGCATTTCGGGGGTATCTGTGTGTTATCTTACTTCACAGTGTCACTGGAAAACATGATTTTCCCTGTGCCTGGGAGAGGAGAAATGGTCATCAGTTGGTTTAGTGGCTGCTTTTCATGATATTTTCACACAAATATTTATATTTGCAATATTAGTTGGTTAGAGCAGGGTGCTGGTGACACCAAGCTTGTGGGTTTGATCCCCAATCACTTAAAAATTGGACTTGATCCTTGTGGGTCCCCCTCCCAACTCAGAATATTCTGTGACTCTGTGAATATATGGATTAGTTTTAACTGGCAGCCCCAAGAAGTGACGTGTCCTTTGTGATGGCTGAGAGGAACCAGCATCCAAACACCAGCAGGACCAGCTTGGAAAGGGGATTTCCCATCCCAGGCTCCAGGTTTGTAATTGGCCTGTTCAAATTATGTAAAGAAACTCATGGCCTGACTGTAATTTTCATCAGGTCAGCTCCTGCAATCCTCCCGTGGTCCAAACCCTTCCAGGAATCAGTTCTGATAATCTAAAAAAATAAAAATTTTGATAAAGATTGCAGAGTTTGATTTATAGAGCTCAGTCAGATGTGAACACGAGCACAGTAGGTTTCTTAAAATCACATGAAAAGATTTAAAGCTGTTTTATCTTTGAATCAGTATTATTTAGTACTTTAGACATGGTCATGAATTATATAAAAGGTTTGTCTAAAGGAGTATTAAAGTTATTTAGTGTAAAAAAAAACCCTAAAACTACTGTTCTTTGGCAAAAATAAATCTGAAACTTTCAGAAATACTGAGAGGTGCATAATTCACTTTACTAGTCTACTCAAAATTCCTGTTTCTGAGCTGCTGATGGTTCGGTGATGCTGTGGGATCATCCCTTGGCTGCTGGGAGGATGAGGAGGCAGCCAGGGAGAGACTTTGGCACTGACACCAGTCCTAAGGGGTTGTGGTGGCCCAGAGGGTCTGTGGACATGTTTAAAAAGCTGATTTACTGAAATATTGCAAAATAAAATATGACATTAAATAACCTCTGGGTGTCACGTTGGATATATTTCCTTATTAACTCACCTCCTCTCATCAGAGGAACTTTACACCAGCTTTGGCACATTAACTATGACACACAAAATTGTCCCAATTACTGTTTTTTTTTTAGAAATAAAGCCATGGTTAGGGACTGGGATTTACTTGTTTTCTCGGGCAGTTGCAAGCCAGGGATGTTTTCCCAGTGCTGGGATAAATTTTGGGTCTGATCCCAACGCTCCCAGGGTGAATTAGGCAGCTCTTCCCATTGGTTTCCTTGTTTAAATCACTTCTCACACCATATTTAAACCCCACCATAAATCATGTCCTTGTCCCCGGTGCCTTTGATTTACACAGCACAAGATGAAGGGTTCCTGAGATTTCCTTTTTACACAAGAGAAAATTACCAGAGGAGAAGTGCTGCTAAATTTTAAGATAAAAAGCAGGCAATTTTGCAAGGCTGATCATATCTGTCCAGAAAATGCCAAGGCTCCTTCAGCTCCTCCTTTCCCTGTCTCCAATTCCAATGGGAGATGCACCAGCTCTGCCAAAAACTTGGCAAAATTTAGTGTTTCCTCTGAGTTAGTTGCCATGAAGTTCAAATTCAGAGTGCTAAGTGTGTAAAAAATGCAAATTTCAGTTTATTAATCCTCAAGGATTTGTTAAATATTGAGGGAAGCCAAAGAGTTTTGATAACAATTTTGGGTTCCTGCTGTCACAACACCCTCAGTCCTTTGGTTGTGCCTTGGTGCTGCTTCCCACACGACCCCTGTTCCATGTGGTGGGACAGGGATATCTGATAAGGAATTTTCTCTTCTCCTGCTGAAATCTCTTGTATATTTTTTAATAGAAACAACCTCTACAAACACCCTGGTGAAAGCAATGCAAAGATCCGGGGTCTCGAGAATCAGTTTGGATCTAATCCTAAATATATAAAAACAATCCTAAATATATAAAAAAGAGAAATTGATTATATATAATATATAACATACTGAATATATGAATTCATAATATTAATATAACACCAACATATAATAGTATATATTAATATACATATTAATATAATACAAACATATAGTAGTATATATTAATATACACATTAATGTAAATAAACATAATTAATATATATAACTACATACAATGTAATTAAAAGATAAATGTATAAATAATCACTCTGGACTAAGGCAATTAATGCTCAGGGTAATAATCAGAAGAGCAGCTGTTCTCAATAAATGAAATTATTCCAAGCTGACACGAGGCCATTAAAACACCTCCCTTCAGCTGGTTTTCATGCCTTTGCATCCCTGCCTCAGATATTACACAGATTAGCACTTATTTCCATAATTTTTTGGGGGAAATTTGTCTCTTTTGCTCTTAGAAACATCATCAGAACGTTCTGATGTTTCTACACCAACACCTTGAGTCTCCGTGAGCTTCTTGCCCTCGTTTTGTGGCTTTCCAGGTGCTCCCAGGCCACCACTTCCATCAGGAACCTCCCCAGCTGAGCTGGATTTGCCCCAGAACAAAGCCCACCTTTACATCCTGAGGGTAATAAAAGGGATAATATGCCCCAGGTGGGAGTTCTGGGAATATATGGGAGCAGGGATAAAGGCTGGATCCTCAGTGAGCTCTCCCTCCTTTTCTCCTGGATGGATGTGTTGTGTCTCAGGTAGGAAACTGGTTTTTGTTATAGTTTGCTTGAAAAAAATGGATGTATTTCAGCAAATTCACAATGGCTTCCACGTAGAAATTCATAACAGGGTGGAAAACACAATGTAATAATCCAAGTGCAGGTGTTCCAGCTGAAATATGGGTTGTTTTTTCAGAGACTTATAATTTTGCTTACAACTCCTCAGCCACAGAAAGATTTTTTTCCCCTCTTGAGAAAGAATAAAACCCACCTTTTGCTGTGAATTAAAGTGGATTATGGTGTGATCACTACCAGTTATCCAGTGCTTGTAAAATGCTGAAGCTCCTTAGCAGGGGATATTTCTCAGGCAGAGTGGAGGCTGGGATTGTTCTCCAGGTAGACTCACTGTTATTGATTCCAAGGAAAAGCTCTGTCACAGGTTTTTTTGCAGTTCTGAGGCTGGAGTTTCACCAATATTCCTTGAAACAATTTCAGCCTTTTCATCATGCAAAATTTTAATTTCAAACTAGAAGGATTTGCTCCTGCTTTGTGTCATGAGATTGGGTTTCCTATTAATATAATCTGTTACAAGAGTTCCTAAATTTAAGTGTGTTTATTAATAGTAGCAAAGTCACTTTTGGGGTAAATTTGAATCACTTGGTGCATTTTAATGACTTTTTGGAATTGCTCTAGTTTTTTGTAAATAAATCCTCTTTTAAGCAGAGATTTTCCATCTTCTGGGTGAAGTTCCTCTTGTTGCAGCCAGAACTTTTGATTCTTTACTGCTTTCATAGGAAATATTTCAATAAGATGAAATTCAGGTTGGGCAGAAAATGCACTGGCTTTGTTTTAGCTAATCTTTCTCAGTTTAAGCTCGGTTTTGCAACCTCCAACCCAATCTGCTTTAAATTTGAGACTCTCTAGTCTCATGTAAAAAGGAAGGAATGAGGAATAACTCATCCTGGAATTGAGATATCTCCGAGTTTTTTTTTTTCCATGGAACAGGTATTTGTACTTGAGATGTTGTGGGTTGGTGAGTGAGGTACCAAGTTAAAGACTTGGTATCACATTGTGACATCATAGTCCCCAAATCAAGCAAAAAACCACTGTTTGAGAGATTAAGCTGCTAAATTATTTTGATTGATGAGTGTTTTTTTTCGATATTTGGTTAAAATGCAGCTGTTCCCACAATATTTAAGTCATGGTTTTCTAGAAATCCTTTTTATGGTTGATGGATTTTAAATTGATTATGTCTGGGAGTGTTTCTTTTTCCTGTGTTTTTCCTGGTGGCTGTGGCTGGCAGAGATCCCTGTGCAAATCCTGCCTGGGGAATGTCACTGTCACCTGTTTTTGTGTCCCTGTTCCTCTCCCTGTGTCCATGATGCTGTGAATTCCAGCACCCAAATTTAAACTTGGTGCTGGGGCTGGTCTGTATATTGGTCAATGCAATTATTAATATTCAATATATTTCTCAGGTAGTTCCCTATTTTGGTCAATGCAATTATTAATGTTCAATATATTTCTCGTGTAGTCAGATGTAAAAAACAGTCTGGACTAAAGGTGCAAAGGTAGTGGGAGAAGGAAGGGAACAAGAAAAATAGGTTGGAATGTCTTCTTTCAAAAATATAAATAGTATTTTTTAAATCTGCCAGCTCTGTCCTAATGGCTTTATGTCTTCTGGATCAGACAGGGTGGGGGTTTGAGTTCTCCCTGGTGGGCTTGATTGGATTATAATTCTGTTTCCCTACCTCAATCTGTCCCTTTTTCCAAGTAAGGATATTTTTTTTGGAGAAGGT